GAAAGAGTCGTCACTGCCACTCTGTGAGTTCCCCTTATGTTTCTTATTGTAACCTCCAGTATAACGAGCACGTGCACACACAGGATCGCAGAGGAACATGAGCTTGGGCGCGGGTCATCGATTCAATGCCAAGTCAATGATATAATTACACGTTATCACGTGTTCTTTTGCATTTCAGTATGTCAGTGACTATTGTGAGGTTTGTTTTCTCCCTCTTGAACATGCAGATCCTCAAACGATCTCAAAGGCCAGAAACTACAACATTTGCGGATGCCATGAGACTTCAACCGTTGCACTTTACGTTTTTTCACTCACAACATCAATCATACAGTACATGTCATTGTGAATTGCAAATCTATCTTGTTACTGTTGTCCGGCCCATCCCGTTCTCCCTTTGAAACCTCTCGTCAACCCCCAGGTCTTTGAGAGCAAACGCCTGGGAAGCATGGCAGTGCTGTTGGGTGAGCAGCAAATCCTGTTGGGCGCCACCACATTTCGCACGAAATTCCCAGAGCCTCGCTATGACATGGATTCCGTGCTGCAAGGTGCGTAATTACACCCTTTTCCGCGCAAGAAGCGACTCCCTTATGTTGAGGGTTGGATGGTCGTGCCGGGAACGCCCCTTCCATTGGAACGCTATACATCCACGGGGGCAAAGGGTTTTTTTGCTAAATTGCTCAATCTTGAGGCTGGTGAGGTGAGGCCAATCTGATCCCCCATTCAATGCGCAGGTGGCATTGATGCCTGCATGTCTGGCGCGGCGGGTTACATCCTCACCTTGGGTGTGGTTGAAGGCGCCCGAGGAAGAGGGCTAGCACAAGCGCTACTGAGAAAGACGATTGAGGCCATTCAGGCGCAGTTGCCCCAGCTGAAAGCGATTTGGGTGCCTCGGAGTACTACGGCAGCCGTTTTCCTGATACAGTCAATCTACTCTAACCCCAACGCAGAGCTGTTCCTCTGCAGGGCACCCAGGTGTCAAAATCAGAGGGCGCAAGCTGGACATTGGACCAGTGGCAAGTTGAGAGAAGTTAGGTCATTTGACGTTGACGAATAACCCCCCCAAAATACACCTATGCAATTCCATGTCGAGATCTAAAACCATTCGGGTAGGTAGGTTCATCAATCAACACAGTTAACTTTAATTTCTAGGTGCACCGTCCGACTGACCACAGCACACATCCACCCATGAGGGCGTGATGGCTCAAGACATGTTCCACCCTCTGCACCTTGGACCTGCTTTCTTTCACACCTTGCAGGTCCATGTGATTTCCTACAATCATCCAGCCATTTCCCTATATGAACGCATGGGCCTTCAACTGGTGAGGCGTTTTCCCCGATTCTACAACTTTCATGATCAAGTCTGGGATTCTTTTCTTTATGTGCTCTATGAGAAGGGGGGGCCGGCCCCCTGAGAACCTGGCCTTGGAACTTCTCAAGGAAGAGGTCTTTGCCATGATCACAAGCTTGAATAGTCCACAGGCTCTAAGGCAGCGCTGCAAAGTTTGGTTCTGCTGGTGCCGAAAACGGAAGCTCAGCAAAGCTTGAGAGGAGTCGCCGACCACCTGAGTGATGTGGTGAGTCCAAAAGACGACGTAGCGGGTGATTGTGCCTGGAGAAAGAGTCGTACGAGGTCATCCTGTGCGAATCTGCGAGGTTTTGCCCGACCCTGGAAGATCACCTACCCAGAATAATTGAGACCATTTATCCTGGAGGGCCCCCCGTCTAAGGGAGGGAAGATGGAAGATCTATGAAGGTGGAACGC